CTTTTTCTGAAGAAGGGTCTAGGCCCAAAACATCAGCCTTCCTGCTCCTCTGATGCTGCTTGGCCTGCTGTGTTCATCCAGCTCTACACCTTGTTATCTCAGTTCTCACAGTGCACAGTTTAAACCTTTTGTTATTGCTTTAAATACTGACAGGTCCTGGTGCAGCCTTAATACTGCTACTTTTGTCATTAAAGTTCCTGGGGGAGCGATCATGTTAGTTAACCACAATAGGTATTTCCTGGAAGAGTTTTTCCCACTACCTAATCATGAGCTATTTTCCTGTTTCTCACCCTCTTGTGCTGATGAAGTGTTTCTATTTCTCCATGTCTAGTCTCACTCTCTACCTCACTAATCTCCCCCTTACCTCATCTAATCTCTCGCTCCCTCCCGGCCTAATTTAACACTCCCCCATCTGAGTTGCAGACTGCACTTCTATTTTTCTATTGAGTTGCAAGATTTACACTTGCTTGTAGAAACTCATATTCTATCCATTATACCATTAAGACTACAAATAAGTGGGCTTGATCAAAAAGAACAATCACTTCTCCCTACCTGCAGCGTAATATAGGTCAGCAGGCAGCAAACAGCAGCAATGGGAGGCTCAAGTGGAAGTAACCCCTCAGCAAAATCGTATAAGCCAAAACATGCGAGAAATGTGCAGTAACGTAATTTCTTAACCTCTGACCCTTCTGTCAGCCACAAAGTTTGTAAATCTGGAATTCCTCCTGCAAATAAAACATTTGCATTTGGTCACCACCTGCTTCGGCACATTCAAACATACTTTGATCTATTGCAGTGCAACTACACAGCTTTGAGGTAACAGTTAAGCTCCTACATCAGAAATTATGATTCCCCTCTTTAAATTAAAGAATGACACAAAAGCAAAGACAAGAGCTGCCCTGATGCAAACAGACGAGAAGGCTCTGCCAATTTTTTCTCTCTGCCAAGTTAACCGACCGTGGCACGATTAGTGGAAGGGCCACGAGAATTAGCCTCACTGCTCCTGTCAGAGTGAAGAAAAAAATCATCCAGGGCTCCTGCTATCCTTTGAGGCTCTGCAGGAAACTGCACACGTGCAGACGTCTGCTTGTGAATTCCCCCACTGCCAAATGGAGTAGAATTTTCTGAGCTTACAGAGGTCAGTGCTGAGGGCAGCATCTCAGAAAGCTCTTTTTATTTGATAATTAGGGAACATACTCACGAGGAGCACTCAGATGAAAACTGAGTGCCAGAGACATACAACAGGTCTGTTAGCATCTGTAAACTAAAAAGACGGGTTAACTTTCAGCAATGGGACCCCTGGGATTTGACCATGGATCTCAGCTCAAGAAGGTTAGCTGTTTCTTTAAAGCTCCACTTTTCTTTCTGAAGCTGTCAGATCTGCAGCTTATTTCCAGCATTATCTGCTTTTACTTTAGGTTCCAAAGTCATAATATTCCTTTTTGCCTCAACTAGCAGTTTTCTATTCCCGAAACTGGGAAGAAATTACAATGAAATTACAACACAATTGTATTTAATACTGTAAGTAATGCTAAGCTAATATGATTTAATAGTCACTTACGGATACCTGTGAAACACTTGCACAGGATTTAATTTCTTTCTTGCAACTGTACGGCATTAAAACCCCATCGCATGCTTTTCCCCACCTAACCCACTATTAACACATCAGGTTAAGGCATATAGTGCTGGTAAATGGAACACTTATTCTGCAATCAATGTTGGCACCAAACATTCCTAAGTCAGATTCAGCACAGCTAGATATACCAACTATCTCTCAACCCATGCTAAAACAGGTTAATTGAACCATCCTGAGGGCACAAAATGCACTATACCAGTGCAAGCCCTTTCTGCTTGTTCGCCAAATTTGTTGAAACACATTAGGGTAATGAGTGTGGTACCTGGTAGATTAGGTGGTAGTGCTGGCACAAGGTTTGGCTGCTGCAGCGTGTTGCCTGGATATACAAACCACTCCTTTACTATAGGATATGATCTGGTAGTTTCAGGTTGGCTTTCTAGATACAAAGAAATTTAAACAAGATTATCAGTTATCACAGGATGTCACCTTTAGTTGACCTGAGCACATCTTCAAAGAATCTTACAATGTGGAAGGAAGTCGTCCAGCCTCACATGCCCAGGCCAACTCTGTGAAAGAGCTACCTTAATAATTATATTCTTGAACAACAATGCATCTGGGACCACTACAGGTTGAATGATAACAGCAGCACCTACTTCATTCGAGAGAGGAAAACAGAAATTGCTGTAAAAGCTCAGCAGGTCTGGCAGCATCTGTGAAGAGAAATCAGAGTTAACGTTTTGGGTCTGGTGACCCTTCCTCAGAACTGAGGAAACAGAGGAAACAAAGATGGGAAAACAGCCAGTCCCCACATAAACAAGGTAATGGAGAATATCTGCTGCTCGCAGATCCACATTTGAGAAACAAGTCAAGTGAGAAACCATTTTCAATATTCAGGTTTTAATCGCACGTTAGCAACAGGCCACTGAAACAACAATATTTCTGATAGCCCAGCTCCACCAGCAAAGGAGGAAAGATACAGTTGGGGTTTTCATTCCAAAGTGCTAACCTGTTGTGAATGGTTACATTACTGTCAAGCAAGATCGATGCTGGGTTTGGTTGTCAAACAGCCTGCTGATGCACCTTGCCTTAGCTTACACATGAAGCACATCAGGTGAAGCTGAGGAGCTGATTTATTAGAATAGGACCATTGATGAGGGACTCTCTGTATCTTTGTTACGTCTAGACCTGACCAATCCAATACTCTACTGGTTGGCATCCCATCTTCTACCTTTCATAAACTTCAGCTCATCCAAAGCTCTGCTGTTCATATTCTAAACTGCACCAAGTCCCATTTGCCCATCATCCCAAAGTGTTTATTAGTTGATACCAGCTTCTGGTTTGGTAAAGTCTCAACTCTAAAATTCTCATCGTTGCTTTCAAATTCTCCATTGTTGTGCCATTCCCTGTCTCTATAACTTCCTCCAGCCCTACAAACCTGCCAGATGTCAATTTGAGTTCAATTCTAGCACCTTGCCAGATTTTAAACACTCAACCACCAGCAGTCATGTGTTCAGCTACCTTGGCCTTATTCTGTGGAATTTCCATCCTCAGTCTCTTCTCTACCTCTCTGCCCTCCATTAAGATGTTCCTGAAAATCTACCCCTTTTACCCAAACTTTTACTCATCTGTCCTATTAATTCCATGTGTGTCTGGGTGTCGTTTTTTTATTGATGTAAGGACCACTTTTATTTATTGGGCTGTGGACTTAAAAATAGGAAAATGATACTGCTTTAAACCAATGAACTATGGAAGATGTTTTAAAAAATAGTTAACAGAACTCATTGAGTGCTGTATCTACAAGGAGGCCCTATTCAAGCAGTGCAGGAGGATGTTAGACAATAAAATAAAATAAATAATTGTGGATGCTTCATGGATATTAGTCACCTCAGCTCCATGGATGTGTGTCCAGGAGTAATTTTCCTTTGTCAGAGACTTTGATTGTTTTTTTTAAATCAGGATCAGTTGAGCACATTAAGGAGCACCCAGCATAGTAACAACTTCTTGATTGGTTCCTGGGAGAATGGCTGCAGCTTTGTGGTTCACATCCTGCTGATAAGGAGAAAACATCTCTCTCTTCTGTATGTGAGTGGAAAAGTAAAAGAAAATCCCAAACAGCTAGCTCCTCTTTCTCTCTATAAATTCCCTTCTTGAAAGGAAAAAGGGTAAAACAACCCTCACAGACACTGAAAGGACGAATCCTCAGCTAGTGAAAAAAAGGTTCGAAAATTGGTGTGTCCATAGCCTTGAATTCTCCTCAAAGAGTCTAAAAGAACTGGAAGGCAATGGAAGGAAAACATCTCATTGAGGCCTGCAATCCAGACTGGTGCCAGAACTATGCTTCATTGTTATTTTCTGTTCCTTTCCCACTTGTATTATTTGTGTCATGTCTTCAAAGACTCTCAGACTTGTTTCAGTGCATAAGGAGGCCATTCAGGCCATCTCCCTGTACTGGTCTATCACCTAGTGCCAATCTCCTGCCTTTCTCCCATATCCCTGCACACTATTCTATCCAAATAACCAACCAATGCCCTCTTGAATGTCTTAATTGAACCTGCCTCCACCACAATGCAGTGCACTCCACACCCTAAAAATTCGCTGTGTGAAAATTTTTTTCTCATATCAGCCTTACTTCAATTGCATTGCACATTAAATCTATGCCCTCTCATTCTTTTGTCTTTTACAAACCAAAACAGCTTCTCCTGATCTACCCTGTCCAGTATGCTCATGATTTTGAAAGTTTCCATCTCAGCCTTCTTCTCTCCAAGGAGAACAATCCCAACTTCTTCAATCTATCCTCATAACTTGAACCATTCTTGTAAAGCGCTTTGGGAATATACTTCACCTGTACCCGAACCACCTGCTCTTTGAAGGTCACCCATTGTACAAATAGGACTTTTCCCACTAACTCTTATTCTCATCAATCCTGCTCAGTTCTGTTCTTGCCCCACTGAATTCCGCTCTCTACAACTGACTTCTCTTACTCTGGATTGTTGCATGTAAATCTCCAACATCATCCTGAAACTTATGATACATTAATCACTTGTTTCCCAAATGTGCCCATCCTGACAATTGGCCCACCTCATTTCGAATGACCAGGTACATAAAATGCATCCTTCCTTGTTGGACCAGACACATTCCCATGGGAAACTTTTCCCAACACAATTTTGGAACACTTACCCCTTGCTGCCCCTTACACTAACAGTATTCCAGACTATGTTTGGATAATTGAAGTCCCCCACTTCAAGGGAGTCTTGTTGATATATGTGTCTGTTTGTATCTGTATGGGAATTTTTTGAAAGGGTAGAATGTAAGTTATAGAGCGTTATGTTAGTAATTTATGTTTCTTTTCTGAGATATGTTAAAAACAATCTGTTTGCACAATACTAGTTCTCTGTTATGTACAGAAATCTGATTAGTATAATCTTTTAACTTGAGCTCATCAGTTAGGTAAATTAGGGACTTTGGTTAATTTGATTAAATCTTTTCACATTTGTGATGACACCAGGAAAAGTGGGCCTTGTTTTCCAGACGTTACCCCAGTGAGCCATGACATTGATAACGCTTTTGTCAACCATCTTGCTACATTAAAATTGGTCATCTGTTGTTGTTTTGCCTCTATATTTCTAAATTTAGCCACCTGAGTGAGGAAGAAAAGGTTGCATTGTGTCCGTGGGACTCACAAGATTTGGGTAAGAACACCACACTGGTTTATCACAGACCTCTTCTACTGGGCAGAAACATTTTTTGCAACAACTTGCATGCAGTTTTGTAGAAGAGAAGTGCACAAAGACCTGGCTTATGAATACAAACCTGGATAGTTTGTGCAAGGTAAGAAATTTAAAAGGTGGAGTACTCCAAGAAGATTAGTCCTTTTCTTCAAAACACTAAATACAGTGTGATTATTTTGCTTCTGAGTGTCTATTTCCATTGTTTTTCTATATAGTGGTCCGTTTAAATGAGCAAGTGACATCAGGGGGACTAGCGAGGCAGGATTTTGTGCTCCAATGATAAAACCGATCTCCATTTAATGGCTAAATTCCCCTAGGAGCTGCATGTCCAGAATTCATCTTATAGTTAATAACTTGAGGATTCAAGCTGATGTGTATCTGTGCATGATAATTCAACATCTTCATGTGTCAGGCTTAATAACTCCACTAGATTCACCAAGACTGTTATTACAATCAGCAGGTATAAATACATGTATGGTAATTTTCAAAAACTTGCTGTTCTTCACAAAACTGCATCATCTGCCTTTAGAATGCTCTTACGTATCAACAGAAATCCTTACTTGATTCAGCTGAGAGAATAATGCCATAAATGGACTGTCGAGCAGGTTGGTAAACAATGGCCTGTCCTGGAAGTTCAGTATCCAACTCGTCCTCCAGAGAATTGCTGCAATCTACTTCCCGAACCTTCAGAACTTTGTAAACTATGCGGCTTTCTGCTTTGATGTGCCGCTCCCTTGCAAACTTTTTAAAATTAAAAAAAAGGGTCAAAACACAGATTTAACAAGAAAGCTGCATCATTGTAAAAAGAAACGTCATTCTCTGGATGCAGGCATCATTAGCAAGGTTGGCATTTATTGCCAATCTCCTAGATGCCCTTGTCGGCTGCATCTTTCACCTGCCACAACTGATGGAGTGAAGGTGTTCCTGCAGTGCTGTGAGGGAGGAAGTTTCAGGATTTTGACTGGACGACAGTGAAGCAATGGTGATATAATTCTGAGTTGGAATGGTAATGACTTCGATGCCATCAGCAATCTGCTCCCCTTGTTCCTCCAGGTGGAGGAGTCACGAGTTTAGCAAGTAATGAATACCCATCACATATTAAATTATAAGTGGCGCGAATTCTAAGCAATTTCAAACAAATGCCAGAGTAAGATAGGAATAAAGTGCTGCATCATTTTATTCAGTGAAGTTGTAAAGTTTTTCACTGATTTGTACAATGTGGAGGTTGCTGGCTGGGCCACCATTTATTACTCATCTGTAAACTGGTCTTGAGAAGGTGCTGGCGAGCCACCTTTTTGAACTGCTGCAGTCCATGTAGTGTAGGAACAGCCTCAGTGAAGTTAGGGAGGGAGGTTCAGGACTTCATGTGGCTAGTGTTTCTGGGAAAAAATATTCAAAATGCATTTATATTCCACTGGAAAGACTGATAAGTTTGGAAAAGACTTCATAGTTTAAATCAAGGGCAAGGACAGAAATCACAGGATTTGCTGCTGCTCCTAGGTGCCAGCCTTGCTCTGTGTCCCAAGCACAGCTGGCCCCCTGGAGCCCGGGGCCACAGATATCATGCCCTGATGTACCCCATGCACCAAGCCTGGTTTAAACAATTCTTTTTATAAATCAACTTATCTTAATGTGTGTTTATCTTAGCCCTTTTCTTGTTTTAGTTAAGGTGAATGATAAAGGAAATCATTTGCATTTATATAAGGCCTTTCAAAGCATCATGACATCCCAAAGCACTTTACAGCCAATGAAATACTCTTGAAATGTAGTCACTGTTGAAATGGAGGAAACAGAGTATAGCAAGATCCCACAATACAGGGTTGTTTCCAGTGATGTTGGATGAATGAAATTCTTCTCAAGTCCTGCACTGACCCAGATTATGTTTCAAATCTCTAGATGTCAGTCCATGAACATCTGATTCTGGCACCACGAGTTCTGCAACTGAGCTAAAGCTGGTCTCCTAAAGTGTACACGAGAAATAAATGTCAGCTGCATCTCTTAAACTGAGCACTGATAATGCTAAGAGACAACACAGATTCAGTGTCACTTATCGCACTTTGTTTAACAATAATAAATATGATGACAAGGTCCAATACATACAAATGTAATTTATTTTCAACTCTATCAGTTTAAAACAATCAAATCAATTGAACAAATCACATTGATCAACTAATCAATACAGTTAATGCCCTCTGAGGGTCATTGATTACTCTCGGTCTACCTGAACAAATCACTCCTTTCATATCATATCACTGAAATATACTTCCACTAAGAGCTCATTCCAAATTTTATGCCCAATGCACAGAAGTAATTAACAGAGAAATTGATAAGGCAGCTTTTCTGAGGTTTGAAGCCTGTCCACTTTTCGTTGTCTGCTTGCTGTGAAGGTTTTCTATTGAGTGAATTGGAAAAGTTCTGAGTGGTTGGGGGTCAATTAATATCACTCAGAGAGGCATGGGAAAAGGCACACAGTGAGGTTGTTCTTTTAAGTCTGGTGCTGAGGCATTTTGCAGAGGGAACTAGTTACTGATCTGTGAGTGTCAGAATTAAGCCCTTCCAGCTCACAGATACCATGAATTATATATAGATCTATGACGCCACACTGCCTGCCAATTTGCTGATGTTCAATACCCAATGGAGGAAGCTGTTCTGCACCAGTGTAACATTACCACTTCCCACATTAATGACCCTTGTCAATTAGACATTGTGAACATCATTTTAAAAACCATGAACATGAGGTGGGCAAAGCCTGCACGTATTTCCCACCTCTCACGAGGAAAGGTGGTGGGTTTTGTTCTCAATCCACTGCAGATCCTTGTGTTGATGATACTCTGTGATAATGGTTGACCTAGTGACAATAGAAGAATGCCATAAATCGCCAAAGTTGAAGGTTGCATGCAACTTTGAAGGGAACCTGGAAGTTGTACCTGAATTCCCACTATATTGCTGTTCTTGATTCTCTCAGTGTTCAAGCTCATGGAGCTGGGGACTATGATTGCAATACTGTCAGTGAAATGCTGCACAGTATCCACTCCAGCGTCATTTCTCAGATGCAGCGTTAAAGTGAGGCACTGGCTATCACCCAGGTAGACATTAAAGATCCCATGGCACTAACTGAAGGAGAATTTAGGACTTGTCTCCAGGAGCCCGGCAAATAATTATCTGTCATCCAACAGATTATCCAACTTTTATTTACTTCACTGTTATAGAATCATAGAGTCATACAGCATGGAAACAGACTTTCCAATCCAACTCGTCCATGCCGAACAAGTTTCCTGAAATAATCTAGTCCCATTTGTCTGCGGTTAGCTCATATCCCTCTAAGCCTTTCTTATTCATGTACCTGTCCAAATGTCTTTTAAACGTTATAAACGTACCTGCATCTACCACTTCCTCTGGCTGTTCATTCCATATATGAACCACCCTCTGTGTGAAAAAATTGTCCCTCAGCTAAGTTTTAAATCTTTCTCCTCTCACCTTAAAATATGCCCTCTTGTTTTAACTCCCCTACCCAAAGGAAAAGACCTTTGCTATTCATCTTATCTATGCCCCTCATGATTTTATAAGCCTCTATAAGGTCACCCCTCAACCTCCTAGGCTCAGTGAAAGAAGTCCCACACTTTTCAGCCGCTCCTTATAACTCAAACCCTCCAGATCCAGTAGCATCCGTGTAAATTGTTTCTGCGTGTTCTTTAATGATATTCTTCCCATATCAGGTTGATCAGAACTAAACACAATAGTCCAAAAGTGGCCTCACCAACGGTCTGGGACAAATGCAACATGATGTAGCAACTCCTATACTCAATGGACTGAGCAATGAAGGCAAGCATGCCAAATGCCTTCTTTACTACTCTGTCTACCTGTGATGCAACTTTCAAAGAATTGTGCACCTGAACCCTTAGGTCTCTCTTTGGCTGACTATTCCAGAGCTTCCTGGATGACAAAAGAGGTGGAAATTTTGATATTGGTTCGGACATTTATGATAGATGTCAGGTTGTTTGTGGAAGCTTGACTGTGAAAATTGATGCTCACATTTCCCACTTCTCAGCAGTGACTACACTTCAAAACAGTTCGGGACATCCTAAAAATTGTGGAAGTTGTCAGAGAAATGCAGGAGGGTGAATAGCGAGTTCATTGCGCCAAAATAATGCTTGCACTACAGAACCTCAGCCAGAACAACAGTAGTTGTACCTACTGAATTCTTTTCAGCCAAGATAATTAGAATATTGACTTTGAGCTGATTATAGATATTTTTAATCAAACCACTCAGATATGTTATCACGTTTTTGGGGCAGGTGGGATTTGACCCTTTGCAACTTGACCTGCTGGTGCAGAGGTAGGGACACTACACTGCACCACAAGAGCCGCCTTGTTAAGGCTGCATGGGCCTGACATGATTTGAAGATGCAGCCTTCTGATCTGGAGTCAGGTGCGCTGCTGTTGCACCAGAAACTCACACTTTGAGCTGTTTATAACCCTGGCTCTCTCAGGACAAATGGCTTTTCACTACTTCATTATGCCAATTTGACCCAATTAACACCTTGGAATCAAGACACTGGTGGTTCATTATGTTCCTCAGCTAAATAGGTGTTTCCCTGTTCCTCACCATGTCACAAAAATGGTTTGAATTTATTAATGCAATGGTCTGTTTCCTTGCCTTTGTCACCTTAATAGCTCAGATACAGCCAGTTCACTTTCCATCAATGCTTTACAACAAGCATACATTACCAGCTTCACTGAAATATAAATGGTGGATTATACACTGTACTCAAGGTTTTGGAGTAGATCTGTAGCTCAGGTTGTGGGTGTTGAGGTTGGTTGGCTCACTGAGCTGTTTGTTGTTCTGTGGAACAACAAACCAGCTCGGCGAGCCAACCAACCTCAACTATACTGTACTCACTTGTAAAATCCTTTGGTCTGTGTACATGGTGTTTTCACATTGGCTTCTCGCTGGAGATGGCACAATGTGAGGAAGCCAGGGTGAGTATTGTCCGGGCAGTAAGTAAGTTCTCATTCCCAGCTCCAGTAGCCTTTCAGTTGAAGTGCATTGCAGATTTCTCTCTATCTTTCTCAATCCATCATACGAACGGGTCACACCAGAGATATAATGTGCAACTGCCTCGACCATCTCCTTTCTCTTAGTCGCTTTGGAGTTACATGGAGTGTATCTAGCCAAGCACTGCTGCTTCAACCTTTCTACCGCTTTTTCTGGCACCACATCATTGCTGAGAAGGCAGGCTAAAAGCGGCAGGTCCATCAGCTGCAGGTGGAGGGAGTGGCAGAGATTTTCTCGGGAGTACATAACAGTTGTCATCTTGTTCAAATGCAGCTTTTTAACTGAAAGATATGGCACCGTGTCGAAAATGAGGAAATCCGTGTCCTGGCCCAGGATTGCCATACAACCATTTAACCTGGCATAATTGGCGATTTCATAATCAGCCTCCTGCAGGGAGCATATGGTGTTTAAGCCCATAGACTTCAAGGCAAAGCGAGTGAATGTGCCCAGCCCAGAGGGAATAAAGAACATGTTTCTTCCTGGCTGACTGGCCTTTTCTTTTATATGCTGAAATATTTCTGCGATTTCTTGGTTGTTCCTCAGCCGTCGCATAACCCACTTGTCCCTTTTCTTCTGATCTATTACCCCATCAAAGATAAACACCAACTCAATGCCAAGGGATCGAAAAGCATCTGTAAAGTTTTCCAAGCTCCGCAAGTATTCACGCCACTGCCCACCATGCACCCAGGCCTCTGCAGTGTACCAGGATTGGAGACATCCCATAGCATCCACCACCACAATGGGAGAATGCCCAGGATGCAAGCGGCGATGCTGTTCTGCCATGTCCTTCAAATTCACCCACATGTTTGACTGTGGACAGGCGTGTTCCACAAACCGCTGGAGGCCCCTCACACCCATTGCTGCTCTCAGTTAATGGGCCCAAACAGAACAGCATCAGAAGTCTGGAGAAAAAGGAAAACAAACCATCAGTTGTAAGGAGAAAAAACTTGCATTCATGTTTTACACTTCAGGATCCAATGTGTTCCACAGCCAATTGTCTGTGTTTTGAGCCTGATTGTTGTCGTTGTGAAGGCAAATGCAGCAACAGTGCATGCACCGTGTGACCATCACCCCACCCCGCCAAAAGTTAGCAGCGTTGGATGACACACGTTTGCAGGGTTAGCTGAGGGGGAAATGTTCACAGATATAAAGTAAACTTCCACACACTTCTCTGAAAAATGTGCCATGGAATAATCTTTCATATCAGGCAAAGGGAGGCCCCAGGTCTTTCAAGATTATTAGGGTGCCAACAGAATGTTAAATATTAAAGCTTAACTTTCGTATAAAAGGCTCACTTTTAACTTAATTGGAAACCAACACTCGACATGATTAAATACTCTTCTCTGGAGGATAGTAAAATGGAAAGTGCACAGTGCGGAAAATATGCCAAGGTAGTGGGGAAATTATGTCAAATTATAAAACTGTCTACTTGCAGCACAAATACTGGGACCTTGAAACAGTCTGTGGAAAGTACTAATGTACATGCAAATACAGGAGTCAAATGTCTAGGCCCCGCTAGAAGACATTGGCACTTTGAGATAAGAGACAGCCGAACACAGAAGGATACGAAATCATGATATAATGGATTGATGTGCACATGATAGATACCCAGTTGGTCAATGAATGAGAGATAAGGAAATTCAGCGAACTGGATAGTTTGGAGAAATGGATTGCTTTCTTTGGAGAAATGTAAGTGGAGGGATATTTGATGGAGGTGTTCAAAGTCATAAGGGGTTTGGTCACAATAGATCGCGAAAAGCTGTTCCCACTATTGGAAGAATTGAGAATGAATGGGCACAGATTTAACTGGCAAAAGCAGAAATGGAGAAATGATCAGAAATTGATGTCATATGAGCACTTAAAATCTGGAATGAACTGTTGGAGAGTGTGGTCGGTGAAGGCTCAATTGAAGCACTGAAGACGAAATTGGATTATCTGAAAAGGAAGAATGTACAAGGTTACAGAGCGGAGAAGGAATAATGCTAGCTGAATTGCATTATTGGAAAGCTAGTGTTAGTTGAATGGCCTCCTTCTATCCTATAACAATTCTGATTCCGTGAAAGTATGCAGCTCTAAAGGTGGCTGACATCAGAGAGAAGATAACTGAATGAGGACCAGAACAAGAGAGACCAGAAATTTGTCTCTGTATAGCAAGAGATCTGAAATTCAGAGACATGGATAAACACAATGAGAGACAATCAGAGAGAAAGGGAGACAGGCCAGAGAGAGGGAGAGAAAGACAGAGAGACAGAGAGAAACAGTATGGCACAGGAACAGGGCCTTTGGCCCATCACGCGTGTGCTGACACATGATGCCTTTCTAGGTGGTGACCAGGAGACTTCTGAGTGGGTAAAGGCAATAGCCTGATGAGCTTCATGAGAGCTGCAGAAATACTCCTGTTGCTACCAACGTCATTATCGGTTAAGTATATTTTATGGAACCTCACTGCCTGCAGCTCTCCTTTTAAGGGCCTGTATAGAATCATACAGTGAAACAGAAGATCATTCAGCCCATTGTGACTGTGCAGTTCTGTAGCACAGCTATCCAATGGAGCTCACCCCTTGCTCTTTTCCTATCACCCTGTACATTTTTACCCTTTAAGCTTTTATTCAACTCCCTCTGAAATATCTGACATGAATCTGCTTCCAGTGCCCTTCCAACCTTATAGAGGTTAATAAAATCGTGAGGGGCATAGACAAAGTGAACAGCAAAGGTCTTTTCCCCAGGGTAGGGGAGTTCAAAACTACAGGACATTTTTTTAAGATGACAGGAGAAAGATTTAAAAGGGACCTGAGGGGCAACTTCCTCACACAAAAGGATGGTTTGTATGTGGAATGAACTACCAGAGGAAGATGCAGGTAGTTATGACAACAACATTTAAAAGACGTTTGGACAGGTACATGAATAGGAAAGGTTTAGAGGGATATGGGCCAAATGCAGGCAAAGGAGACTAGTTTAATTTGGGATGCTTGGTCAGCAAGGATGAGTTGTACCGAAGGATCTGTTTCCATGCTGTATGACTCTATAAATCACAACTAGACACAGGCAACACTTTACTGATTAGGCAGACATGACAACTATGTTTATACAATAGATATCAAAGTGTTGTTAGTGCAAAGGGCTCAACAACTGTTTCAGCCATGGGCCCCAGGCTTTGCTCTTCATGCCTATATTGACAGGAAGACTGTTGATGGTTTGAGGTGTCACCATATTGAAAGCTCTTGTAACCAGTTTCATGCCTGCAAATGGGGGACATTGTTAAATTTCTAGTCCATTGTGTCATGACAGTATACACATTCTTACTGCAAATTCATTTGGGTAGTTTCAGTTGAACATGATAAATTGCATTAACAAATACAGAAAATGCTGGAGAAACTCAGCAGGTCTGGCAGCATCTGTGCAGAGAGAAAGAGAGTTAACATTTTGAGTCTGGTATGACTCTTTGTTTCAGATTTCCAGCATCCACAGTATTTTACATTCATTTAATTTGGGTTAGGCAATTTTGGCAACAACTAATTTTAAGGCCAGACTTTTACAACAATTTCACTGGATAGATTTGTTATAGAACAGCCACACCTCAAAAGCATTTACTATTATAAAACTTAAAAGACAAACGCTTAGCTTTAGAATCCCTGAATTCCTAAACAGTCAGCGTCAGTAATGTCAATTCCTGATATGATATACCTACAGCACAATGATATAGTCAGATCGAGGGCATGCTTCTGACATAAGGTCTCTACCATTAATTTCACTGCCAACAACACTTTAAGCTGTGACTTATGTATTACATTACACAGCAGGGTTGTAACAAGGGAATTTTCACTGCGTGCTGCAGACCAATTTTCTGATTGCTTGACAGTCAGAGATTATTCTCTATATAACCACCATGAACTAGGAGTGGGATGCGAGGGGGAGGAGAAGAGACATCCACTTTGGGTAGCACAAGGACAATTATTGTATTATGTTTCATGTATTCAGTCAAATCCTCAAGAGTACAGAAATTTCCATGAAAGCGCTCGCTGTAAATCACCTGCTGTTCACCAAAATTGCTCTCATCAGGAAGTCCCATTTGCACTGTCACAAACCTGATCCCCAAACTAATTATCAAAGTCGGAGAAAGGCATCACTGTATGCTATCACTGCCTGTTAGCAATATGAACAATGCAAAGCAAGAAATGACAAATGTAAGAAATCCATATTTACCCTTTGCAAAAGTCCGCAGCAAAAGGTGCTCAGGCACTCACTGGCAGCACATGTAGGGCTTGAAGCTGAGCCTTCAACCTCATATTAGCCATTGCTCCCGCAGTGTTGGATACTGCTTGTCATCTTCGGCTGGAAATCAGATACATCAGAGGCCCTGATTTCAGAGAAGGACTGCCACAATACAAGCTGCCCATGTATTTTCCCACCGTGATTTGACACTTGTCTCCACTAATGTAAATCCAAAACTCTGGGTGCTACTTATTTCTAACTTGCACCAACTCCTGTTCATACATCACACCTCAATTTTAAAATTCTCACCCTTGTTTTCAAATCCCAGCATAAGACTTGAAGACTCCTCCAAGCCTCACAATCCTCCAAGACTTCTATGCACTTACAATTCTGGCCTCTTGAGTGCCCCCAGTTTTAATCACTCCACTACAACAACAACAACAACACATTTTTATTTAATTACTCCACCATTGGTTTCCATGCCTTCAGCTGCTGAAGCCTAAGGCTTCAGAATTCCCTCCTCAAGCCTCTCCACCACTCTCACCTTCTGTAAGGTAGTGCTTAAAACATAACAGTTTGAGCAAGTCATTTGTGTTATTATCTCATAGTCTGAAGGAATGCATGAGACCAAAAGAATAAGGGAACAGGCAATAGATATTTTAATCTAAAGTTAATTGGGTTTGAATTGGTTGTTTCAATATGGGAAGCTAGTTATTATATCAGTGGATGTGAGTTTGGTGGAATGTGGCGAACTGAAATACGGCTCACAAAGTGTGGACTTGAATTCTATTTAAATACAGTTATCTTTTCACCATAGAATTAAGATCATATAATCCCTACAGTGTGGAAACAGGCCCTTCGGCCCAACAAGTCCACACTGCCCCTCAGAGCATCCCACCCAGACCCATCCCTCATAACCCACCTAATCTACACATCCCCAAGCACTGTGGGCAATTTAGCATGGCCAATACTCCTAACCCGCACATCTTTGGACTGTGGAGGAAACCGGAGCACCCAGAGGAAACCCACGCAGACACGGGGAGAATGTGCAAACTCCACACAGACAGTCACCCAAGGTTGGAATCAAACCCGGGTCCCTGGCGCTGTGAGGCAGCAGTGCTAACCACTGAGCCACCGTGCCGTCCCAATGAACCAGATGGGTTTTTCCAACAATCAGCAATGGATTCATGGACATTATTAGACTCTTAATTCCAGATATTTGTTGAATTCGAATTCTACCATCTGCCGTGGCGGCATTCGAATGCAGGTCCCCAGAACATTACCTGGGTCTCTGGATCAACAGTCCAGCGATAATATCACTAGGCCAGATGTATAACAATTTGCCCTCTCATCTCCTTATGTGGCCTGGTGTCAAATTTTATTTGATAGAAGTTTTGTGAAGTGTCTCAGAACATCTTACGTTGTTAAAGGTGCTATATGCTGTTGCAGATGTCTTGATAGCTGCAGTCTGATTTGCAGATCAACAGCACGGTTTACTGTACAACTGCATTCTGGGGATGAATTTCCAGAAGGCATTCCATGAGATGACAACAAAGATCACTGTGGAAATAAATGCTCATGGTGTAGAGGGGTAACATACTAACATGGATAGAGACTGGGTGGTTAGCAAAAAATTGAGCACAAATTGGCCCTTGTCTGATTGGCAGAATGTGACGAGGGGATGTCTGCT